CTGGCGTCTCTGTCGTTCTACGACGACAAGCTTGCATGGTACGAGAACACCGACGGAGCTGAGAGCTTGGGTCACAGCAGGTGGTGAGAAGTGTAGTGTATGGAGCGCGGTCCATGATCGCGGCTGACATTGATGCTGATGGCGATGTGGACCTGGTGGTGGCGTCGTCCAGTGACGACGACATTGCCTGGTACGAGAATACCGAGGCGGTCGGAGGCTTCGGGACACGGCGAGTGGTGAGCAGTCTCGGGAACGATGTGTGGTCCATGTTTGCGGCCGACATTGATGGAGACGGCGATGTGGACCTCGCGTCGGCGTTGTTCTTCGACAACTCGGTTGTGTGGTATGAGAACACCGACGGGAACGGGACCTTTGGTCCGCAACAACTGGTGACCACGTTGGCAAACGGGCCACGGTCAGTCATTGCGGCTGACATCGACGGAGATGGAGATATGGACTTTGCATCAGCGTCAGAGTATGACGACGAGATCGCATGGTATCCTCGTCTCACGCGCAACGCGTTCCACTTTCCGGCTCCGCGGGTTGTCACCTACTCCCCTAGCCTTCCCGCCTGCCTCGACGACCCAACGTGTCTCTCCGCCAACATTCACCGCCTGTCTCGGTGCATCTCCGACACCCTCCTCTTTCCGCCCGGTACGTACGCATTTGGCCGTGCTGGCGCGCACCTCAAGCTCGATCACCCGTGTACTCTTGCAGCTGCTGTGCCAGGTCATGTTGTCATCGACGCGACTCTTCCTCCTAGCATCTCTGCTGGTGGTGATGGTGGAGTGCTCTTCCATGTCGTGCCGCCGGCTGCAACCTATTCTCCGCCTCTCTCGGTACGCCTTGTCAATCTCACCATCACCAACATGGGCACCGGCTTTGACTCGGTCTTGGCATCCCAAGGCATGCGTGTTGACGGCGAACAGGCTGTCCTTGAGCTCCACTCGTGTCGCATCGTGTCGTCGACAGCGACGTCCTCACAAAAGAGCTCTCTCTTTGATGTCGGCTTCGGCGGCGCGGTCCTTGTCAAGAACGCCGGTACTCTCATCGTTACCAACTCCACCTTTGATCGCTGCTTTGCCTCAGTTGCCGGCGGCGCCGTGGCTGTCGATCGGGATGGTTCACTCGCGCGCATCGCCAACACCACCTTCCTCGCCAACACTGCCAAAACCAGCGGCGGTGCTATCACAGCCACAAACGGCGGCCACATCGAGCTCGACGGCGTCCACTTTGACGCCAATCTCGCTAGCATTGGGAATGGCGGTGCGGTGGCCCTCGACTCGGGCTCCTCGGCTACCCTCGCCGATGTCGCTTTCGTGGCCAACACCGCGTCAGCTGGCGGCGCACTGGCTGCTGCAGCATCATCATCGGCTTCGCTCGCCAGAGTCGTCATCAGCCACAACATCGCTCGCAACAACGGCGGCGGCGTCCACATCGACGACACCTCATCAGCCTCGTTTGAC